CCGCAGAACAGACTCATTTTTCCAAAAAGTAAGTTGCAAATTTAATTGCGTACGAAATTTTTGTTTCGTGCTTTTCTCTCCTCCTCTCCGCACCTTCTTCCTCCGGCAGAGGTTGGAAGTCATTTGCGCAAGCGTCAATGCGGAAACTGACCTCCTTCAGAGTGGAATACGTCAACCCAGATGTAATCACCTTAGAACAATCACCAGCGACATCACCATTACCGCAGCCACAGCATCATTCGCGTAGTCGTAGTGTGAGCACCACTGCGAGCAAGTCTATTGGCTACTTAAGTATCTTTGGCCAACCTGGCTACGGAACGAGACTGCCTCGCAACATGCGACCGTGGGCCGTCGCTCCTACCTCCGCCTCCGTCTCCTCTATCACCGCTGCTGCTGCTGCTGCTTCAGATACTATTTCCGCGCCTGATGACTCCAGCATCTCTGCTGACGATGCCGATGAGGTTTTGAGAGTAAATCTTGCTTTTTGTTTCATTTTGATATCTAATAGTGTCCAAAATAAGCCCGCTATCATCTTAGCAATAATACAAGTGTCTTGTTCGAAGTCATTTCGTGGCAAATCATCAGGACGTAGTTGTGCATTTCTGCAGGTTATGGATGTAACTCAGACCTCACTGCAGTCTTCAACCCCCTCGTCGTCATGGTTGCAGCTACTACAGCGCCACCTTCCAGCCTCTACGATGTCGCCAACGCCATCTCGACGTTTTGAGACCAGCGACACTCCGCGTGGTTCCATCGCATCCATTGAAGAGGGCGTCGCAAACACTTCCGCTGCCACATCTTCTCTCGCCTCCTCCTTCGACTCTCAGCTTGCTGGTGTGCTGGCTTTAGATCATATATCTCTACTTCATTCTTCTGTTGAAGCGACTATGCAACATTCTTATGCTTTATATGCTCTTTTAATGGCATTTTCCCACCTCTCCAACTTCAGCTAACATATAATGAGGTGAAGTTGTGAGCTACTCATATCTTCTGACTAACTTCTAATAATTGATACATGGCTAGTTTTGACTTTTCTGTTGGACTTTGTTTAGTGCTGTCCTACCAGCCTCCCTCGTGGCATGCCATAGCGGGACCGCTGGCTGTGGGACCTGTGGGTGATCGTGTGTGCCTGGCAAATCCACTAGTGATGAAACCCCCTCCATCATCACTTCGGCTCCCCACTACTGCTCCCTCCTCCGCTGCTATGAGGCGACGTCGTTCGCGTTCGTCCTCACTTGCCGCAGCACGTCGTGAAGGTGGTCTTAAGCAATCACCCTCGGCGTCCTTCCCCCTTCTTAACCTCAGTAAGTCCGCTCCGCATCATCAGTTTTGTCGACTGTGATGCAAACAGAGAGTAAGATGAATGCCTTTTATTTGAAGCTTCCGGGGAGTCGGTGAAAGCTCATGCTCGCTCAGAATCACCAAGGTCTTTGAAACCACCTCCACCACTACGGAGGCCTCCCTCTTCGGCCGCAAGGTCATCTGCAGGACCTGCAATAGCGTCTCGTGTGCAGCAGCTTCGAGTCATCTTCACTACCTGCACCCCTTGTGGGGAATGCTCACGTCTCTTCTATGACGAGGAGATAATGGCGATGTGGGTAGCGGCGGGGGATCCACCGTTCGCTGGGCTCTCCTGTAGCGTTTGTGGTAGTTCCCTTGTGCCCAGACTCACAGTGCGCACCGTTGCCATCTTCGAGCTCACTAATCCCACCAGCACTGTCTCTACTCCTCTTTCGCATGGTCTCATTGAGCAGTCGGTTCCTTTCCTTAGTCCTCTGGTTTTGCGCCGTCAGCTAGAGGCCGTGGTCAATAGCGGTGGAGGAGTTGGAAGTGGGAACAACAAAGGCTGTGTGGAGAGCATGGCAGTTCAGGCGCTCTCATCAGCCGGTTTGCTGGGTCATCGACGTGGCAGGGTACTGCTATGGAACCTGGTATACTTATTGCATCGCGCTGGCCTGCCAACCCACCTATTAGATGCTTACCCTGCCTGGCTTATGGATGCTCAGGCCGAGGCACGTCTGTTGGGTGGGGGGCGGCGCGTCCTTCTTGGTGGTTCTCTCACCATCGCTCGCGCTCTCTCGGTCAGTTTGGCTGTCCAGTTACAATAGCCTCTTTTTGCAGCCTTATTAGCGTTGCACTGGTATCAATTTTTCCTGCTAAATCTCTCATTGTCTTTCCTATCCAGGAGGTGGTCTTAAGTCCTGATTTGCCGGTGTGTTTGGTGGCGAGATGGGACCCCTTTCCACGCAAGACTATCACAGGTAGAGAAGCGCCGATGCTTTACCGTCTGTGGGATAGTATTCACCCCGCCAACTACCGTAAGCGTAACTTTGCCAGGTTTCCTTTTTTTCTGCGCTTGAAACAAATTTTTTTAATGTTTACATGAAAAATTCAGTTTTTTAGTTGCGTAGAAAAGGCCTTATCGTGAATTGTGTCTTTCCTATCTCTACAAATTTCTAACTTTTCAGTCGTGACTTTACTGACTTTTTTCATGATAGACTTGCTCTATTACTGAAGCACTTGAAGTCGACTATCGGGATTGCGTGCCTTGAAAATTTTGATCCTGCCTTTTTCAAATGTGCCTTCAAGTTGCTTTTTGGGCATGGTTAGACGTTATTTGTGCATCAACTAAGGAGTTGTGTAATTATTTGCAGTGAGTCCTTCTAGTAGTGTGGCTGATCTGACAGCATCACCGGGTAGAGGAGAAGAGCGACAGGAATGTGCGCTGGAGGAGGTCGTGCGAATGGCAGGTGATGCACTGACATACGAGAATGTCGGCGCGGCTGTTTCCGCCATTCGCTCTCTCAAACGCACGGCCATCCATTCCGTCCACCGAGAGTTGCTCCTTCTCTATGCACGCATCCATGGCACATCTTGGCAACAACTAAGTGGGTTTTTGAACTGTAAAAACATGCTAACATCAGTATATATGCGCTGTCAACATGCTCCTTTTCTCTCTGACCCTCTTACCAGACAAATTTGACGCGGGTTACATAGCTTACCTGTTCGATGAGATGCGACAAGCGGGTACACAACAGCAGGATCAGCTGCAGCGGTGGCGCACAAATGACGAACTGCCTCCCTCAGCCACTGTGATGGCGTGCCGATGCATCTTCAGGAACCTTGCACTTACCTAGACCCCTTCCACCTGCAATAGAACTAGCCCTCTTTATCCCCGACCTGATTTGTGGTTCGTGTTTCTCTACACGCATGTGATCGAATTGTGATTAGTACTCTGGTGACTGCTTTACCTTGTATAAACTATGCTGCGACTGACAAGGGTGTCTGGTGGTGGTTGTGGGGTGTTGATCTCCCATTTATGGACTTTGGTCTTTGGCTTTAGGAAGTTTGGGGAGGTGCGTCGGGGCGGCGGGCGTAGATTATCGAGCTGTGACGTCTTGTGAGACGAAGTGCAAGTTTCAGTTTGCATAAATTCCCCTCAGCAAGAAGTTGAGGTCTGTAAGCCTACGCAGGCGATTTGAGGGGGTTACGTTTTCTAAAATTAAGCAGGTCCCTTATAAGTTGTAACCTAAATACAGCTAAAGATTTTTACTTTTGAGATTAACATTAAAGAACAATTATTAAAAATTACAGTTACTTTACTAAAGTAATTCCTTCGTCATTCTTTTTCTTTATCTATGTAAACTTTGATCACAAGAACGCTAGTACCAAATTAAAAGTTCGGTCCGTGAAAAGGGAAGTCTACACACCGCATCGGAACATCTGGTTCGGATACAAGAAAGACGAATTTCTTCGGAGGAAAATCTTAAAAAATTATACTTGATGTAGGCATTGTTGCTCTTAGACTAAATCTTATTTAAAGCTCTTAGCTAGAATTAAGTGACACATTTAAATTTGACACGAATACATTCCTTATACACTGTATCTGGCTAAGCTTTAGGCATTATAATTGCCATTGTTGCTGTAGTTAATGTATATTAGCTTTTGTTCGCTACACAGCAACAAGTTATTCTTGCGATAATTTGATTAAATACAAAACATTCATTTGTTTTTTATTATTTCATTTTAGGTGCTTCAAAAATGCAATGCTTCACATATATATTTTTACAATATCAGTTGGGTTTCTTTGCAATTTTTTTGCAACCATTCTACCCTTTTGGTTTGCTAAATATCCCAGTGCAAAATCCCGATTTTTAAGTCTTGGATTGTGGGAATTGTGTTTGGACAACTTTATCTCACCTCTAAATCAGCAGCGTCTCTACAGTGGGTGTTTCTATATATTTGATAGTAAAATTACCCCACTACGGCCTCTCTTCTTTGCAAGTATCTCCAACATCTCACGATAATTTGCTCATACAGTTTGGTTCCATGTCGCCCAGGCACTTCAAAGTTTTAGCATGATTATTCACTCAGTCCTCGTTGGGATTGGATTTGGTATGCTTTTTAATGTCTTCGATAAATATAATCCAAGGACGGTCTTGACCTCAATCTTCCTCCTTGTATTAAACTGTGAGTTACATTTCTGAACTTTTACAATTCGTCCGCAACCCATCCATGCATACAGCACATATACGGACAGTATATTGTCTCTGAGTTGGGTTGCGGCATGCAGGTTGGGTGCTGCTCACACAACTGGGTGTGGTGGGTGTTAATCTGGATCTCGAACAAAAACAGGCGGACAAGCGTGGCCCAAGCTTATGGATGTCAGAGGCCGATCAATCCTCGTTCTCCTGGTCCTTCGGGCTGGCAGCCTTTGTGCTTCTTTTTGTTCTCGTTGCACTCAATATTCTCGTTTGGTGTGTTTATCCCAGGAAGTAAGCTTCTTGCGATAACATTTGGGACAAGCTTCATACATTTCGCTTAATTCTGGTGTTAGAAATCATATGTCATGAACCCTAAAGCCTTCCTGTGATAGTAAACTCTAATTGCCCTCTATCGTTAATAGAATGCTTTCTTGATCTACTTAGATCAATATAATTTCCTGTAACCTTTTCTTAAGTTCTCTTGAGAGCAAACACAGATCGTAATTTTCACGATGCACATTGTGCAACGGATGTAGTCCATAAACTCTGACTCGGTAGGAATCAACCAAGTTAATAATTTCACTAGGAATAGCAGCGTTGTAATGCCTCTCGACATCCAACAGGTGCGCATGCCTGCAACTTTGTATCCTCCCTTTCAGCTGTGTTGCACTATCAGGAGTAGATTTTCTCTATTACAACAGTTGAGTAAGTCCAGTAGGCATTCCTCTGCATGCTATGCAAATAGCCATGTAAATGATGTTGCTCCTCGCCTACTCCACAACTACTTGTCAGCATTCACTGTGCCGTACAGAGGAAATGGTAACGCCCTTGCTGTCATAGCAACAACGGTATTTCTTTGTCCCTTATGCTGCATAAAAGTAGGGGCCGAAAGTGGTGCAGCTTTACTTGAATAAGAGAGTAATTCACTGAAAGACGCAGTATAATTGAGTCCGCGAGATTGCGACGTCTGTTTCCGCTGGTAGAGAGAGAGGCGGTCGCCTACTATCAAAGGCATGGACTTGGCCTACCAGCAAGGATCTACCGTGCTGCCTCCTACGAAACCCCTCATATAGACATGCGGCATTGGAGGAGTCTCGGAGGGCCGAAAGTCTCAGTGAGCAGCAGCGAATAGAACTGACACGACTTCATCGGACAGCCGACCCATCAAGAGACACTGACTTATCCTCCTTGGACGTTGGCACATACGATCCGCGCTCTGCTGATGCAATGGTAGTCACACTTTTGCCTCCTTTTTATTGCAAAAGTGGATAGTAAATAAATCGGTCCTAAACTTTTCCTTAAGACTGAAGGAAATCAAAGTGAAGATAACCACATCAGCTCATTTAAAATGTCAGCGGCGGGTATGAAGTTGGAAGAGGGCGAGTTGTATGATAGAAGAACTGCTGTGTTTCAATCCGATCCCCGCACAGCCGTCGATGAGAATCTCAGCCGCGTGTCCAGTCGTATGTCTAGCGTGCGCTCCTCAAATGGGGTAAGACGCCACAAATTAACCACTTCCAACTTATCCACCGAAGGAAAGTGGATGTATTTTTAAACAATCGTTCGTTATTAATTTACCAGGTGTCGGGAGCATTCGATAGAGAACGGAATCGTACCTATATTATCAAGAAAGGCCAAAGCCACATTACACCACAAACTGTTGTAAGTGTCCATTTCCTACTTGAGAAGTTGTCTTGTGTGAGATGATGACGATTTAAGGGGTTATGTTCCAAAAATGAGTCGAATTCAGGCCCATTTTAGTGTTCATTCAGCCTTTTGCAGTCCAAACAATTGATAAAGAAAGCGCAAATAATTTACCCTCCCTCCTACACCACAGTACTTGTGGCAAAGCTTGAATGCGTGTAGGAGAAGCCACCCGTCAAGGACAGTTGCAAGGACCGTAGCTACCCGTGCCACTTGATTGGGTATAGCAATTAAAAAGATGGATAAAACACACATTAAGACGCAATGATACTGTCCTTAATACACTGCAGGCTGATAAACTGAACCTGAGCACTATTTGACTTCCCTTCTCTTTACTGCTCTTTGTCACTTTGTAGATTCCCAAACCACTAACACCGGGAAAAATACACTGACTATTAGCTAGAGGACCAAGTACATTATGTTGTCTTGTGATTTATTATACTAAAAGAAAAAAACCGTTAGCTATACCGTATTATTGGGATTGTTAATGGGAAAAAATAAAGGACATCTAAAACAACAGAGCAAGGCAAGATTAAAATCTCTTCGTGGAAATCCGAAGAGTGGATCAGTCTAAAAATCTCAATGAATTCCCCTGGAATCAGTGAAACGCTATCACATTGGATTTCAGATATAATTTAGCTTCAGGGGGAGAAATTAAAGTGCGCCTCAAAAAATCGCTGCCATGCTGCTCTACTTAAATTATTAAAGTAGCATGCTGCGAGTGGTTGTTTAGAAAAGGTGCTACTTCTGTACAGACACATTCATAATTGCAGTTTTAACCTGGCGTGAAAACTATGAGCATAAGTATCAAAAAAGATAATGGAAAAATTCATTACAGCGATTCGTACCGGATAAGGAATCAGTAAGGATGGAAATCACCAGAAGTAGTTTGAATTGACAAAGTAATGGACCCAAACGTAATAGAACGTCTCCTTTCACTAAAAGCCCAAACTTTGATGCAAATCTAATTAGGCGCGTAAACAAAAAGAAACATAGATTAGAAATTTAATTTATGCGAGAGGAACTCGACTCTCATCTCGTTAAAAAAACCTTTCAATTGTGACTCAAAATCTTCCAAGGCACTGCATTTTCTGCAGGTTCAAAACAAAGTCTAATTTACATCATCATGCACAGCCTCATTCATCCATTAAGGAAGAAAAACCACTCTTAGATCATAAGAAGCGCCATTTTGGAGATGGAAAATGGAAAAAAAGCCGAAGGTAGGAAAGCTTGATCTTTTGAATAGTACAAACACCATCTTACTGGCTCAAGACCACCACTGCAACTTCAACAATAGGGAACTTGCAACTTGCAACAATAGGGAAGCAATT